AGGGTGACAGAAAAAAATTTGATGATGGTGATGTTGAGAGGACAAAAGCAGATAAAGTTAAGGTGGAGCGAATAAAAGTTGACGAAGGTAGTGGTGATAAGACAGAAGCATATGAAGTTGAGGGTTTAAGGATAGAAGTTGAGGAAGGTCATGGTGAGGCTAAGAGGACAAAATCAAATGAAGTTGAGGGTTTAAGGATAGAAGTTGATGAAGGTCATGTTGAGGATGAAAGGATAAAAGTTGAGATAGGTGATGGTGAGGCTGAGAGAACAGAATCACAGGATGGTGAGGGTGATATGTTAGAAGTACAAGATGGTGAGGCTTACACAATAGAAGTAGAAGACTTGGAGGATATATAGAAGTATAAGTCCGTGATTGGAGTACATCACATGATGGTGATGATGGTGAGGTGAATAGTAAGGATGGGTTAGTAAACATAAATGTGCAGTGTGACTTTAGTGAAAGTTCTGGTAATATGGAGGTTGAGGTTGAATCTGTTTTACTTGGGTCTGAGTCAAATATGGAAGAAGATGAGATTAGTGATTCTAGTTTGTTCAATTATGAATGACAATCTGAGGACTTAACTTCTCTTAACATAAGTAATGAAGAAAGTGAAGATGAAGAGGGTTATGGGAATTTTTCTACATTTAGTATGCCAAAAAAGATGCTTGATTTCAATTGGGAAGTGAGAACATATTTTGTGCATAAAGAAGACATATTGGATGCCATCAAAAGTTATGCAGTAAAGAATGAGAAAAATATGAAACTTGTTAAAAATGATAAAAAAAGAATAAGGGTTAAATGTTTGGGATCAAAAGGAGAATGTTCATGGGTGACATATTTTGGTTTCATGGATGCAGTAAAATCATGGCAACTAAGGATTGTGGTTGACAAGCATACATGTAGTAGGGAACACAAGTTGCACCTGTTCAATGCAAAATGACTAAGTAAAATATTGGAAACAACAATCAGAGAGAATCCTAATGTAAAGGGAGTTGATATTAAAGATAAAATTAGTAGGAAATGGAACATAGCAATATATAAGAATATGGCTTACAAGGCCAAAGCCTATGGATCAGACGAAATGGAAGGATCCTTCAATAAGCAATATAATATAATTTATGATTATGCTCATGAGCTATTAGTAAGAAACCCAGGGTCCACAATCAAGGTGAAAGTTGAGCAAAATGATGGAGAACCAATATTCAAGAGGTTTTACGCATGCCTAAAGGCATGCAAAGATAACTTTCTCTCATGCAGGCCCATCATTGGCCTTGATGGAGCCCTTTTGAAAGGCAGACATCGTGGTGAGCTGTTAACTGCTGTTGCTCGAGATGCAAACTACCAAATGTTGCCACTCGCATATGCCATCTTAGAGGTCGAGAACAAGGAGACTTGGACATGGTTTATGGAGCTACTGATTGAAGACCTAGGTGGACCTGAGGTGTGTTCTTCACTTACATTGATATCATATCAACAGAAGGTAAATTGCATTATATTCATTGTCTTTTATCTTATGCAAATGACTTTAAATCAATATCAGCTAACTTTTTGATCACTCATTCACAGGGTCTGTTACCAGTTGTACAAGATGTTGTTCCTAGAGTTGCACACAAATTTTGTGTAAGGCATTTATATTCCAACTTTAGGAAGAAATTCCCTAAAAATAATCTTAAGAAGCTTATGTGGAGGGCATCCACAACAACCCACCCACAAAAATGGGAGAAGGAGATGGGAAGTATCAAAGAGGTGAACCAAGATGCTTTTCGACACTTGATAGTTATTTCTCCAAGGTTTGCTACTTTTAGTTTACATATCTTTTACTTTCTGATTATTTTACATAGTCATTATATGACATACATCTTCATTGAAGGTTTTGGTCCAGATCAAGGTTCACAAGCACAACACAACGTGATACCTTGGTAAATAACATGTTAGAAGCCTTTAATAGTGTTTTGGTTCAAACGAGGACAAAACCAATTATTACAATGTTGGAGGAAATTATACTTTACATGATGAAGAGATGGGCCACTAATAGGTCAAGGGTAAGGTCATTTAAGTCATCAATTTGTCCAAAAATAGTCAGTAAACTACAAAAAGAGGCACTACTAACAAAGAATTGGATTCTCAAGTATCCAAGAATTATGAGATATGTATTTCTTTGATTATGTTATCCCAAGTATCATATAACTAATGTTGGCTTATGTTCACAGTTGGTCTGCACAAAGGCTATTTGAAGTCAAACATGTGTCCCAAAGTGGGGACAAGTTTGTGGTGGATATAGATCAATATTCATGCTCTTGCAGGAAATGGAGCATCAATGGAATACCTTGTGTTCATGCATTGGCAGCAATGATGTTTCTCAACATAGATGTAGAGGACTACATACCTGTATGCTTTCAAAAGTCAACGTATGAAGAAATTTATTCATCCATTATCTATCCCATTAATGGAAGCAACCTTTGGGAGGTAACCTAATATCCAGATGTCATGACTCCATAAAAAAGAAATATGCTTGGTCATCCTAAGAAGAAAAGGAGGTTAGAGCAATGGGAGTTGAAGAAAAGTAGCACCAGAATGTCAAAAGGAAGATTACTAAGGAGATGTAGCATGTGTAGGGAAGTGGGTCACAACAGAAAACGCTGCCCTAAGACAAACTAAGTGCATGAAGAGGGAGAAGAACCCAGTTCATTGCCTGAGGGTCAACAAAATGGAGAAGAACCACTTCAGAGTTGAAGAATGTTTTATGTTTTATGGTTGCAAATGTAATAGATCAAAGTTTCATGTAATACATTACAGACATGTTTTATAAACAATGTTTTATGTTTCAGTATCCTATATATTGGTATTTTTATGAACAATGGATGACTACTTTTTGGTATTAATATACAACATCTTAGGACATGTTGGTATTAGTATTCAACTCTTCAGTTTGACATTTGCAGTTTCTTGATTGAAACTAGATTGAAAATTTATTATTTATCTTCATTATGCCCTTAGTCCATGTTCCTCTTTCAGTGGTTTATCTAGGTCCCAAGATAGCATTATTATTTTACTCATGTATTGTGTATGTTTGTAGTTGTGTTGTCAAGTGTTGAACACAAATTTATTGAGCACTGTTTTACAGGTTCTATGCATATTTTATGCTATATATAGGGCAACTGCTGACATAAATTTGATACCATAACATAGACAACAATTGTACTCATTGTATGCAAATTTTCATTTCATTAAACATCTGAAAGTGATACATCTTCATTACAGAAAACATAAATACATTGCAACTAATACATTAAATAGAACTACATGAACATTATCAAGCCTACAATACCAAAAGACACCTACATTACACCTACACATACAATATCAAGCCCTTCCCATCAACATTGCAAATATAATGATGTTCATTACACATAGAACACTAACAAACCCAACCAAAAATTTCATCCACCTTTCAAGATCCATCACAGCTTTCTGCACACCAACTATCTTTTTATCACTTTCATTTTCAAAACTCTTTAGCAACCTCTCATCATTTGCTTCCAACACCTCACAGCTAACACTTTCGTCAATTACGCAATCACTACACCATCTGAAGTAGTTGCATCCATTATTTTCACTTCCAACCTTATACCTAGGGCAACCCCAGAATTGTTTGCGTCGATTCTTACTGGTTTTCGCAGTCCTCAACACAGACTTCTCTCCACAATGGCAAATCAGCGACGCGTCATTCCTGTTCCACCCTCCATCTCTACCAGAGCTCACAGACCGAAATTGCTTTCTTCGACACTCATTGCAAGTGGAAGGTGAACACGAATGACCCATAAACATTGTTGTGTCGTTTGCTTTCGCACTTTCCTATTTCAAAACTTCAACTGCTTTCCAATCTTCAACAACAACGGACCCTAATTAACCAAATAGGGTCTCCACTAAGGACTTCACGCAAGGTTCACAAGCACACTCCTCTTAGATTTTTAATGAGGAATGAAATCCCATATTTAATTTCATTGAACCCTAAATCCCATTTCACAAATCCATATTATTAAAATCTAACAAGTTGCCAAATTCCACGTATTCAACTCTCAACATGCCATGTTTAAAAAAATTGACACGTCAACCTCGCACCTCATAAAAAACTTAACCCCGTTAAGCTAATTTAACAACAGGGGCTCAATTGATTCAAATTAGCACTTTTTAGGACTTAATTGAGGATTCTAATAAATCGGGGATCGTACTAGGAAAAACCCACATAAATAGGGACAACTAAAGGGATTTAACCTTAACTGAACATAGAAGAGATGAGTGTAGAGAAGAGAGAGAAACATATGGGTACAAAAGAAAGAGAAAAAAAGTTGTTGACTTTGTTTATATTGAACAAAAGAGACTTGATTGAGGAAAATTTTACTAAGTATGGAAGAAATTGAAACTTTTTTAAAAGGTAGGACCAACTTGACACACCACAGCGAAACTAAGGAAAAAGAAAGTAATTAAACCCAAGAAAAAACATCTTAAGCACAAAACACAGAATGACCATAAGTATTAGTGGCCTTAACATTCAATCTTACCATCCAATGTCAATCCAATAAAAACAATGCATGCACCTCCACAAAATACCCAAAGATGGCTAAACAAAATATATAGAAAGGAAATGTGACACCACACCACACGTGGCTGACCAGAAAGGATTTCTTAAAATCAATTATAATAAATTGAAGTTTTTATTTAATATGTTTCCCATGATAATACCATATTTAAGTTTTTAAACGCTTTTGTAAAACATATGACATTCCAAAATTAGGATATTACATTTTTGTCATAGTTATTTAACACCAGATACTCAATAAAGAGTATCATATTGTTTTAACTCATTTCAAGACTATGGTTACATAATTGAGGTCCTCGACCACATAGTACAATAAGAATTGAATTTGTGCTTACATTTCATTTTTTGCATTATGTTTTTTTGTTGGACCAAATCATAGTTTTACTTTCATCTCTTAAAACTCTATTTTTATGGACTAGAAACAAAGATAATCAATTTTATAAAAACGTATTGTTTCAGTAAGAATTGTGCAGAGCCAAGAAACACACCTTTCTGTCGTCGCCTTCCTTCTTCTAACCCCTGAATCTCCTGCTGCAAGTTCTTCAAGTCCGAGCCAAGGGGGAGGGTACCTGCAAAAGGCACTCTGATGCTCAAGTTAGACGTGTTGTTGAAGAGCTTTAGCTCTTAATGAAATATTCAGTGAATGGTTAGCACTGTTTGAGTATTTGAGAGTAGTGGAATATGAGTCAAGCTTCCTTGGCTTTTAACCTTGGCCTTGTATTTATAGATTATCACAGGCTTAATAAAATATAAACAGACTTAACTTAAATTCCGATCAGTTGCTCATAAACAACTTTATGAATATTTAATCAGACATTTTATCCAATAATGTAAATGTTGGTCCAACTATGGTCCAACAACTTTTAACCTGGTTGGACCTGGTTTGACGAGCGTTGTGGCCCAACATCATTTTAACCGGGTTTGTTAACGAGCGCTGCTACAATAGAGTTGACGAGCGCTGCTATAGTAGATAGACCGATCGATCTTGGATGCTAACCGTTCGGCCTAGATATCGTACTATACATAATGCCCCCCAAGTCTGAGTTAACCGTTCGACTTTAGCCATGATTAACTGTTGGACTTATGAGTTTGAGGGAGGTTGTATTTGCTGTATTGGGGAGCGTGCTTCTAGGCGAACGGTGGGATTTATGAGTTTTCTTTTTGAACTTTGCCATAGGCCGAGCGATAAATGATGGGAGTTCTTTTTAGAACTGTTTCCCCCTTTTATAAGGTCGAATAGCCAAGCAGGGGAGACCTCTAGGTTGAAGATGCTCAGATTAGGGTGATTGTTCCTTTGCTCTTGGTTTTCGATCTAGGAGTTCTTGGAGAACCTCTCAGTAGACGTGAATGACCATCTGTGGCCTAAGAATTCCTGGAGAAACCTTTCAGTAGACGTGAATGACCGTTCGTGGCCCAGGAGTTCCTAGAGAACCTCCCAGTAGACGTGAATGACCGTTAGTGGCCCAGGAGTTCCTAGAGAACCTCCCAGTAGACGTGAATGACCGTCAGTGGCCCAGGAGTTCCTGGAGAACCTCCTAGTANTCCTCTTTCAGTGGTTTATCTAGGTCCCAAGATAGCATTATTATTTTACTCATGTATTGTGTATGTTTGTAGTTGTGTTGTCAAGTGTTGAACACAAATTTATTGAGCACTGTTTTACAGGTTCTATGCATATTTTATGCTATATATAGGGCAACTGCTGACATAAATTTGATACCATAACAGAGACAACAATTGTACTCATTGTATGCAAATTTTCATTTCATTAAACATCTGAAAGTGATACATCTTCATTACAGAAAACATAAATACATTGCAACTAATACATTAAATAGAACTACATGAACATTATCAAGCCTACAATACCAAAAGACACCTACATTACACCTACACATACAATATCAAGCCCTTCCCATCAACATTGCAAATATAATGATGTTCATTACACATAGAACACTAACAAACCCAACCAAAAATTTCATCCACCTTTCAAGATCCATCACAGCTTTCTGCACACCAACTATCTTTTTATCACTTTCATTTTCAAAACTCTTTAGCAACCTCTCATCATTTGCTTCCAACACCTCACAGCTAACACTTTCGTCAATTACGCAATCACTACACCATCTGAAGTAGTTGCATCCATTATTTTCACTTCCAACCTTATACCTAGGGCAACCCCAGAATTGTTTGCGTCGATTCTTACTGGTTTTCGCAGTCCTCAACACAGACTTCTCTCCACAATGGCAAATCAGCGACGCGTCATTCCTGTTCCACCCTCCATCTCTACCAGAGCTCACAGACCGAAATTGCTTTCTTCGACACTCATTGCAAGTGGAAGGTGAACACGAATGACCCATAAACATTGTTGTGTCGTTTGCTTTCGCACTTTCCTATTTCAAAACTTCAACTGCTTTCCAATCTTCAACAACAACGGACCCTAATTAACCAAATAGGGTCTCCACTAAGGACTTCACGCAAGGTTCACAAGCACACTCCTCTTAGATTTTTAATGAGGAATGAAATCCCATATTTAATTTCATTGAACCCTAAATCCCATTTCACAAATCCATATTATTAAAATCTAACAAGTTGCCAAATTCCACGTATTCAACTCTCAACATGCCATGTTTAAAAAAATTGACACGTCAACCTCGCACCTCATAAAAAACTTAACCCCGTTAAGCTAATTTAACAACAGGGGCTCAATTGATTCAAATTAGCACTTTTTAGGACTTAATTGAGGATTCTAATAAATCGGGGATCGTACTAGGAAAAACCCACATAAATAGGGACAACTAAAGGGATTTAACCTTAACTGAACATAGAAGAGATGAGTGTAGAGAAGAGAGAGAAACATATGGGTACAAAAGAAAGAGAAAAAAAGTTGTTGACTTTGTTTATATTGAACAAAAGAGACTTGATTGAGGAAAATTTTACTAAGTATGGAAGAAATTGAAACTTTTTTAAAAGGTAGGACCAACTTGACACACCACAGCGAAACTAAGGAAAAAGAAAGTAATTAAACCCAAGAAAAAACATCTTAAGCACAAAACACAGAATGACCATAAGTATTAGTGGCCTTAACATTCAATCTTACCATCCAATGTCAATCCAATAAAAACAATGCATGCACCTCCACAAAATACCCAAAGATGGCTAAACAAAATATATAGAAAGGAAATGTGACACCACACCACACGTGGCTGACCAGAAAGGATTTCTTAAAATCAATTATAATAAATTGAAGTTTTTATTTAATATGTTTCCCATGATAATACCATATTTAAGTTTTTAAACGCTTTTGTAAAACATATGACATTCCAAAATTAGGATATTACATTTTTGTCATAGTTATTTAACACCAGATACTCAATAAAGAGTATCATATTGTTTTAACTCATTTCAAGACTATGGTTACATAATTGAGGTCCTCGACCACATAGTACAATAAGAATTGAATTTGTGCTTACATTTCATTTTTTGCATTATGTTTTTTTGTTGGACCAAATCACAGTTTTACTTTCATCTCTTAAAACTCTATTTTTATGGACTAGAAACAAAGATAATCAATTTTATAAAAA